TTGTGCATTGGGTTTGTGTAGCAAGGTCTTGGTAGCGGGGAGGCTACAGGGGTGGCTGCAGATCTCCACCTGTAGCCTGGGGAGGACCCCACACAAGAGTGGGTGGATTCCCGAAGGAAGGAACCTGTGACGCCATGGGAAGCCTGTGCTGGATCAGGGTCCTGGCAAGACTTTGTGGCCCCGCGGGGAGAGGAGTCCACACCAAAGCAGGTTGGTTGGCAGGACCCGTGACCCCGCAGGAGACGCAGGCTGGAGCCGTCTGCTCCCAAGGGGCTGCATCCCATGGGAGGGATGGATCCACGCCGTCTACTCCCAAGGGGCTGCATCCCATGGGAGGGATGGATCCACGCCGTCTACTCCCAAGGGGCTGCATCCCATGGGAGGGATGGATCCACGCCGTCTACTCCCAAGGGGCTGCATCCCATGGGAGGGATGGATCCACGCCGTCTACTCCCAAGGGGCTGCATCCCATGGGAGGGATGGATCCACGCCGTCTACTCCCAAGGGGCTGCATCCCATGGGAGGGATGGATCCACGCCGTCTACTCCCAAGGGGCTGCATCCCATGGGAGGGATGGATCCACGCCGTCTACTCCCAAGGGGCTGCATCCCATGGGAGGGATGGATCCACGCCGTCTACTCCCAAGGGGCTGCATCCCATGGGAGGGATGGATCCACGCCGTCTACTCCCAAGGGGCTGCATCCCATGGGAGGGATGGATCCACGCCGTCTACTCCCAAGGGGCTGCATCCCATGGGAGGGATGGATCCACGCCGTCTACTCCCAAGGGGCTGCATCCCATGGGAGGGATGGATCCACGCCGTCTACTCCCAAGGGGCTGCATCCCATGGGAGGGATGGATCCACGCCGTCTACTCCCAAGGGGCTGCATCCCATGGGAGGGATGGATCCACGCCGTCTACTCCCAAGGGGCTGCATCCCATGGGAGGGATGGATCCACGCCGTCTACTCCCAAGGGGCTGCATCCCATGGGAGGGATGGATCCACGCCGTCTACTCCCAAGGGGCTGCATCCCATGGGAGGGATGGATCCACGCCGTCTACTCCCAAGGGGCTGCATCCCATGGGAGGGATGGATCCACGCCGTCTACTCCCAAGGGGCTGCATCCCATGGGAGGGATGGATCCACGCCGTCTACTCCCAAGGGGCTGCATCCCATGGGAGGGATGGATCCACGCCGTCTACTCCCAAGGGGCTGCATCCCATGGGAGGGATGGATCCACGCCGTCTACTCCCAAGGGGCTGCATCCCATGGGAGGGATGGATCCACGCCGTCTACTCCCAAGGGGCTGCATCCCATGGGAGGGATGGATCCACGCCGTCTACTCCCAAGGGGCTGCATCCCATGGGAGGGATGGATCCACGCCGTCTACTCCCAAGGGGCTGCATCCCATGGGAGGGATGGATCCACGCCGTCTACTCCCAAGGGGCTGCATCCCATGGGAGGGATGGATCCACGCCGTCTACTCCCAAGGGGCTGCATCCCATGGGAGGGATGGATCCACGCCGTCTACTCCCAAGGGGCTGCATCCCATGGGAGGGATGGATCCACGCCGTCTACTCCCAAGGGGCTGCATCCCATGGGAGGGATGGATCCACGCCGTCTACTCCCAAGGGGCTGCATCCCATGGGAGGGATGGATCCACGCCGTCTACTCCCAAGGGGCTGCATCCCATGGGAGGGATGGATCCACGCCGTCTACTCCCAAGGGGCTGCATCCCATGGGAGGGATGGATCCACGCCGTCTACTCCCAAGGGGCTGCATCCCATGGGAGGGATGGATCCACGCCGTCTACTCCCAAGGGGCTGCATCCCATGGGAGGGATGGATCCACGCCGTCTACTCCCAAGGGGCTGCATCCCATGGGAGGGATGGATCCACACCATCTGCTCCCGAGGGGCTGCATCCCATGCGAGGGATGGATCCACACTGTCTACTCCCAAGGGGCTGCATCCCATGGGAGGGATGGAACCACACTGGAGCCGCCCGCGCCCAC